CTATAGGTCAGCCGATTGGGATGGGATGCGGTCTTTCTTTGCATCCTACCCTTGGGGGAAGGTCGGGTTTGCTTCTCGCCGGACGATCCCAACGTTGTTGCGGATTCTGTTGCTGATGTGGTACTTCAGGGTATGGAACTTTTTATTCCTTCCTCTATGGTGCCCATTGGAGGCAAATCTCAGCCATGGTTTGGTCGCTCCTGTAAAATAGCATCATGCTATAAGCAGGAGTGCTACCAAGCCTGGGCTGACGCATCAGCGTCCCGGGACGTAAACACCAGCGCTCTAAAAAATAAGTATAATTCCGCCTCTAGGTCCTTCAAAAGAGTCATTGCCAAGGCAAAGTCAGAGCACATAGGCAGAATTGGCGAGAAACTAGTTCGCCTTCCTTCTGGAACCCGTGCATTCTTCTGGTGTCTAGCCAAGGCTGTCCAGGGGAATTTCTGTCAGCCATCTCTTCCTTCTCTGCACAGGGAGGACGACTCACTGGCCCATACCGCAAAGGAGAAAGCCGATCTTCTAGGCTCTTTCTTTGTCGTCCAACTCGACTCTCGGTGACGGGGGGAGTACGACGCCGACCATCCCGCGGTGTGAGTGCTCCATGCCGGAAGTGGAGTTCACACAGCGCTCAGTTCGCAAAGCACTCCTCTCCCTGGACATCCACAAGTCGAGTGGGCCTGACGGAATCCCCCCAATTGTGCTGAGGACGTGTGGTCCAGAGTTGGCACCGGTTTTAACGCGTCTTTTCCGGTACTCCTACTCCCTAGGCGTAGTCCCTAAATCATGGAAGACGGCTTTCGTCCACCCGATCCCTAAAAAAAGGCGACCGCTCAGACCCGTCCAACTACCGGCCTATCGCCATCACCTCCTTGTTCTCCAAAACAATGGAGTCCATTGTAAACTGCCAGCTCATGAGGTACCTTGAGGATCACCAGCTGATTAGTGACCGCCAATACGGTTTTCGCCGTGGTCGGTCAGCTGGTGATCTTCTGGTCTACCTAACTCACATATGGGCGGAGGCAGTAGAGTCCAAGGGGGGGAGGCATTGACCGTTAATTGGGACATTGCGAAGGCCTTCGATCGGGTTTGGCACAAAGCGCTTCTTTCGAAGCTCCCCTCCTATGGGCTTCCCGCGAAATTGTGCGATTGGATCTCCAGCTTTCTTGCAGATCGGAGCATCATGGTCGTTGTAGACGGTGCAAGCTCCGATTGCAAGCCTATTAATGCTGGTGTTCCACAAGGCTGCGTGCTATCGCTAACACTGTTTCTTCTGCATAATAATGATATGTTGCAAACCCGTAACATTCATTGCTATGCAGATGACAGCACTGGTGATGCTCTTTACACCGGCCGAGCCAATATTTCTCGGGAAAACGTCTCCGAGTGCCGGGACAAACTTGTGTCTGAAGTCGAGTCTTTGCTGAACAGTCTCGGATTGGGGGCGACTAAATCTAGTCCAGTTTAACCCCCAGAAGACACAAGTTTGCGCGTTAACCGCTAAAAAGAACCCCTTTGTCGTATCTCCTCAGTTTCAAGGCACTCCCCTTGTTGCCTCAGCCAGTATCGGAATCCTCGGCGTCGACATATTGAGTGACATGCAGTTTCGTGGTCACTTGGAAGAGAAGGCCAAATTGGCCTCTAAAAAGCTTGGTGTGCTCAGCAGAGCAGGACAGTATTTCATGCCGGCACACCTTCTGCAACTTTACAAGGCGCAGCAGGTTCGGCCACACACGGAAACTGTTCCCATCTCTGGGCTGGGGCTCCCCAATACCAGCTCCTTCCACTTGACCGCATCCAGCGCAGAGCGGCTTGAATCGTCAACGACCGACTGCTTTCCGATCGACTCGATTCACTGGCACTGCGAAGAGATGTTGCATCTCTTTGCATTTTCTTTCGCATATACCATGGAGAGTGCTATAAGGAATTGTTCGGATTGCACTACGCGGCAAACGTGCCGATACCATTCACACCATCTGGATGCTTGGCGGTCCACCACTGTACGTTTCGAAAGGAGTTTTCTTCCGCGTACAACCTCTCTGTGGAATAGTTTACCACCGGCGATTTTTCCGGACCGATACGACCTGGGGATCTTCAAGAAAAGAATTTGCTCCTTTCTAAAGGGCCGGCAACGAACCTGCAATTCCCCTGGTGTTGCGGTTGATCATGGGCGGCGGTAGTCACTTAACATCAGGTGAGCCGCATGCTCGTTTGCCCCCTCTTCTATAAAAAAAAGGCAAATGTAAGGTAAAGTCCAAAGCCACAAGATTTTTGCAGATTCGGTTTGCCGATAGAAATATAAAGTTTGCCTGATTATCTTGCGGCATGTATGTGTTCAAGTGTAGTAATATTAAAGTTTAGGAAAACTTAACACACATTGATCTTGAAATATAATGATCCTATTGAGAATACTGGGTCCATGCATGATTTTGCATTGTCATCTATTCTTAATACGTTGCAAAAGTTCAGACTAAGACACATATCTTAATCTTAATATTTATAAATTATGTGTCACGTTGTTTGTCAGCAATGGACTCCTAAACTACTTAACCGATTTTAATCAAATTTGCACACCGTGTGCAGTTTGGTCCAACTTGAGAGATAGGATATTTTTTTTACCCATGAGTGACCACAATTTTTTTTGCGAATTTAAGGATTTTTAATAGGACATGACAAAGGGTCGTCCAAAAGCGCAGAACGTCTGCCTGGTAAACTAGTATATTATACATTACAAGCCTTCATTACATTCATAAATACATATAATGATATAAGTCAAGCTCATTTAACGCGTGTAAAAATAAGGACAGCCACAATGTTAATTATTTTATTTATTTTTAAACATATATAAGTTAGCGCCTTAATAATGCACTGTTTGAAGTGTAAAATATGATTTTTAATAATTGAAAACAATAAAACAAAGAAAAACGTATTAAATATCAGTCGGCTATTTCATAAAATAAAAATTTCGCGCGTACAATTGTACATTTTGCAACATTATTTGTCATTCATTCATTCGTCTTTATAAACCTAAAAGTCACAATATTTATTAATTATGTAAATCACAAAATATTTCGTTAGTGGCACTACTTGACCTTTTGTTTAAAAATCAATGTTATGATTCTAATAATAAAAAAAAAAAAATTATTACTATAAAATTATCACAATAGGTAAGATATTGTGATAATTTTACTGTTGTGATTCGATTTTTACAACTTTAATGAATTAATTATAAACGAGATCTATATATAATACAGTAGTGGTGGTGTTGAATACTATCGTTACAATTTTTAATTATTACCTTACCAATATTACACAGGTCGAATATTACAAGAATAACGACACAATAAAAGTTATTTCGTGTTTGTAATCGTTATTTTCCATGTAAAAAATAATAAATTGTTAACATTAACTTTTATGCCCGCTCTACTCTTAGTTCACGTATTTGCGGCGAGAAAACGTCGCGAAAAAAGCAATGACAAAGTTCGCTCATTAGTTCGCATGTTTGAAGGAGAAGGTTGGACAAAATAACTAGAGCTACGCCTTCTATTATAAATATATTAAATGTAAATAATAATGTTTGGAGGAAACAAAAATGGCGGATAACACGTACCTATCTATCCTGATAGGATAGGCTTATTTTTGATAGATTTCTTTAAAATGTATATAAAAAGTATTAGATCTTTTTAATTATGTAGGTATTTATTGCAAGTTATTAATAAATGCCTAATTAATGAATGTAAGTCAATGATTTCAAAAGGAAGGATACCGTCATCTATAAATTTTACTTATTTCTTCTTCATATGAACCCCTAACCCGCTCAGAAATGAGGCCATAGCCCAGCAGTGGGACGTATATAGGCTGTAACTTTAACTTTATACAGCAAAAGTAGCGCCTTCAGTCAACTCTATAACACAAACGAACTATATGAGTGCCGCTTTGCATAGGTCGATGGCGTAAACTTGGTAACGTAACACAATAGCCGCCGTAGGCCGTAGTAAAATAATTATCGTTGTAAAAATATATTTATACCTATAATAATTATCGATACCCGTTGGCTTCGCTGGGCGCACGACAGTAGTATTTGGGAACCTAGATGTAAAATATCAAGATTTTTTTATGGGACTATCGTAAAATTCATTCTGAATGTGTCTCCTTTGCGAAATTAGTACTATACTAAATTATATATATTATCCCACGTTCATTTTTAACCTTAGTTTCGTAATGTTTGCAGCCTTTAACACGCAACTAGGCATATATTTATGACAAGCAAATACTAGCTCTCTCCTGCACGCGGAGTGCAGTCGATGATTGAGTCGCGTTGGCCCTAAACTGCTATTTTAGAACCAGCACACTGGTGCCATTCATTAGCGCACTCGGTCTGGTCCTTACGCTAGTAATATAATAAGTCGGTGATTAATAAGTAAGTGAGCTCTTGTAGATGAAGTGAAAATTATTTCATTAATATTTACTTAATGGCTAAATTTAAAATTATAAATATAAAATATAAAATAGTATTTAATTATTATATTTAATAATTAATATAGATTATTCTTGATTTTGTTTTTTTTTATCAATAAAATACTCGTCCTATAATCAAATAGGACTGATAACAAACCGAACGGTGTGTAGTGTAGAGCCTAGAACGTTGAAAAACTAATAAAAATCGGTGTACAATATTATGTGAAGAAAGCGATAAGGTGAAAAATGGTTTCACTTTGTGCATTAGCACAATGTATGCTGCACTCGCGGACTAAGTGTGGAGCGAGCATTACAATAAATCATCTTAATAGTACAATTTTCATTATACTACTAATTACATTGAGTACATAATTCTTCAACAATAGGTGAATATTTTATTCGACCCACTTTTTTAATTTTTAAATATTTAAACATCTGCCATTCAACAATTAATGGACTTTATGGAACAGTTTTTTCACAATTCGTAATAATTAAATTAAGCTATTAAGAAATAGGCTCGTAATCAAATCATACGAATTTAAAATTTATGATTGAACATTCTTATGGCTAAACATGGTGTGAATGTATGGTGGAACCATTGGAGGAACAGTTGACGTGGATTCTGTTGTTGGTTCTTTTTCTTTATTATTTTTGGTTTTTCTAAATTGGAATCCATTTTTACGCAATATCTTTCGCAGAGTTTCTCTAGAGCCTTTAAAATTAATCTCTTCTTTAAGAATTTGAAGCAATTTGTTGATTGTTGGCACTTCTTTCTTGAATGCATAGAATTCATGGATTTTTCTCCTTATCACTTGTAAATCATATTCATCAACCTCAATCTTTCCTTTAGTCCGCACTCTTTTCTTTGGTGTCTTTTTTAATGTCTCTGGATCAAGCAAACCTTGCTCCACTAATCTGGCTTCTTTTACAATGTTCAGAACAGTACGTTCAGAAACACCTGAAAAAATGGTAATTTAAAAAGATTAATCTTAACTGTACAGATAAAGTCTATACATCCACTAATGATATGCAAATTAAGCTAATACTAAGTAAGTGTCCATGTTAAACAACACATTTTTTGTTGATATTTTAAGACTATTCCCAAAAAAGAATAATTAAACACACAACTCAAATTACCCCTCTTATATAAGCCAATTTGAATAATATGAATGGTTTATTATTTTATTTTAATTGATAAACAATAATATATTATTATTATTAACTCAAATGCAATCCATGTCACTAAACACATTATATACTGGCCAGTCCCCTGCCAATTACTCACATCCACACATGACACCACAATGAAACCTAGTACCAGGTCTGTCATTATATTATAATATTTGTTGTGGTTATAATTAATGGTAATGTTCGGTGGACACTTGATGGGGTGCAATCATAACTGATAAATTAAGACGAAATATATAAGGTCAGGGAAAAGTTCCACCACTCATTTTTATGTAGTAAACGCTGCAACCTACTATTAGTCGCGCGTCGCGTGTATTTGATTTTACTTATTTGATTGCAATCTTACAATCGGCAGTACCTCAACAACCGTCCTACTAAACACTAACTACTCAAGGAAAGATTTGCCGCAATAACATTGTAACTATTTACTTTTAAATAAACCTTTCAACTTTGGTGATAATTTCCTTTTGACGTGCTCATCAACTTACTACAACTCTACTTCTTGAAAGTCTATGGTCTTACAAACCATACGGTATTTTATATACAAATTCAAGAATTTTTTTTTCAAAGTATATTACATATCAATATAATATACTTAGTCGGCTAATAAGTTCTGTCAAAACCTTATTATTTAAAAAAAATTGAATACTGGCTAGATGAACTTCAACAATTTTAAAAATATAACGTATGCGCTTGCCGAAAATTAAAAAGATATTAATTTTGATTCATTTTCAAATATGGAGTGGTCGAAGGAAGAAGATAGAGTAGCGGTTATCGCGTTGCAACGCTGTGGTTACGCACCAAGAGATTTTCGATATTCTACAAAAATTGAAAATAACCCTATGATTTGTTTATCGTACTATCAAACGATTTACTGAAGAATCAAGCTTCGCATATCGTAAGAGGACTGGCCGACTTCGTACAGTTAGGACACCCGCTATCATCAAAACCGTGAAGGCGCGTATCCAACGAAATCCTGTTCGTAAACAAAAATCTTAGCTCTTCAGATGGGCCTAAGCAGAACCACGGTCAAAAGAGTGATCAATGAAGACCTAGGACTACGAGCTTATCGTAAGAAGACTGGACATTTTTTGAACGAGCGTTTCAAAAAAATTAAGCTGGATAGATCACGCGCTTTGTTACGGCGGTACGCAGGAAAAAATACCGCGAAATTTTGTTTTCGCATGAAATTTTTTTTGACATCGAAGAAAGTCATAATAAACAAAATGATTATAGCCCACAGCAGTGAAGAAGCCAGCAACGCGTATTCCAAGGGTTCAACGAGCACATTATCCTTTGTGACTCATGGTTTGGCTTGGAGTCTCATATTCAGGCTTAACTGAGGTGTTTTTCTGTGAATAAAGAATTTTCAATTTGAATTTTTTTAATATTCCAACACGACTCTGCACTAGCTCATAGGACATGAAGCATGCAAAACTGGTTGACCGCCCATGGAATTGACCTTATCAGATATGAAGACTGATTCTCTTCTAGACCAGATTTAAACCCTTTTTGGTGCATGCTGCGTTTGATGATTGGCCGCGTCGATTAAGGGCATGTATTCAAAATAGGGGAGAGCATTTTGAATAATGTAAATAAAATTGTATTCTAAATTAAATTACCTTTCATTTCATATATGATTTTTATATAATTATCAAAAAGTGTATCATTAATTTTATAAAAAGTTTTTGACAGAAGTTATGAGACCTGACTAAGCATATGTGAAATTTTGTTTGACAACTTGGTGCCATCTTGTAGGTAATGACATAATTCCGTTGCTGTAAAAATCTTGGGATTTTTGATAAAAAAACGCGACAAGTAGTTTTGGTAGTCCCCTCTTGATGATAACCTAACACTATCTAAAGAATTCTGAAGAGACCGAAAAAGGCGAAAAATCTGAGGGTGCAACAAGGTCAGAACTATATGGTGGATGCATTAAAACTTCCCAATCATGCTCTCTCAATTATTGCTGAATAGCCAAAGATGTGTGTGGTCTGGCATTATCATGATAAAAGATTTTTTCCTTTTCTGTCAAATTGTTGTTGGCAGTAGATAAACGATGTCTTTACAATTCCACTATACACATAGCATCACCTTATTATGTGTTAATCTGGATTTCACTACAGTCTGTGGAGCTTGACTAAGTGATTTATTATTCATATATTAGAGCTTGTTCATCACCAGTAATCAATATATCCAAAAATGATTCAGTTTCATTAAGTTTCAATGGAGAATCGTAAATGAGTACACGATTCATTAGGTTTCTTTCAGTGAGCTTGTGTAGTACCGAAATATCAAGCTTTTATGATTAGCTAGACTTTTTCAAATGGGTCAAAACTGTTTTGGGGTCATTCCTCAATTTCTCGGCTATGTCGTAACTACTAATATGCCGATCATGCTCTACTTTTTCAAAAATGGCGTCGACATCAAGCTGCATTACTGACATCAAAATTCCCGGACTGAAAACACTTGAAACAACTTTGTCCTACTCTTACTAACACTGCGTTAGGTCCATAAACGGGACAATTTTTTTCTAGAATGTATTTTATTTCTTCGTTAGATTCACTCATTTTGATGGATAGGAAAACAATTTAAAATGACAAGAAAGCGCTTTTTACTTTCTTTTTAATGTCTTAAGTATTGATATTAAAACCAGTCAGATACAAATAGTAGAAGCAAAGAGATTTTTCATCAATTTCATACAAAATAAAAAAATACAAAGAAACTTTTCTCCCAACTTATATTAATATATATGTGCTTAAAATTTTATGGATTAGAGTGAGTACTTAGTTTTACCCAATTCTATTAAAAACAGGTTTCATCTAGTCTAATAAGTTCCCAACCCTTTTACCAAGCATGGCAACTATGGCAAATATTCCTATGTAGCATTCTGAAGGAGGTCTATGTCCAGCATTGGATTTAGGAAAGGCTCTAAAGAATGAATGAATACAGATTTTTATGTAATTTTAACTGTTGTTGAGGATTTATGCCATTGCAATGCATTACTAGCTACTGTTGATGTTGCACCCAAATTTGGGTTGGGAAAATTGCAGAATATGAATAATCATTGATACAATAAAATGTTTGAGGCATAAAAGATATATAATGGTGCCTTTTTAAGCTGTAACTTTGCCTTTTTAAACTGTAACCTCACTAATCCTAAACAGTATTTTCACACATAGTAAAAAATTATTTGTCAATATTTTCTTATCCTACAAAGAACTAAGAAAACTCAAGATACAGAGTTGTTAGTAGCAAACATAAGAAGACAATGTCAAGGAAATACAACCAACCTATCTGGGAAATTTGGCTAATAAAGAGCAGATGTACATAGAAATTGAAAAAGCTATGACAAGATTGAATACTGATAGATTTTCAAATGATGTTTTAGATAAACACTTTAAAATTTTACCATTAATACTAAAATGGCATGTTTTGAAAATGGTGGCATTAGAGATTGCTATCAAACAAAAAATCGGTCAAGTGCATTTTGGGCCACACAAAGCGTAGAGGTAGGGTAGTTGCTGGTCACAAAATGTGAACTTAGAAAGGGCCTGTTAAATAAAATGAACATAATATTGAGTCTGTGGTTTAACCGCTATAACTAATAAAAATAGACCCAAATAGGACGGGACGATTTTAACTGAAAGACTTATTTTCCAAGCACTAATATTTTTTTTTAAAGAATAAGGGTGACAAACAAGCACACAGTCCATCTGATGGTAAGTGGATGCTGTGGCCCATAGACATCTATATTTATCAAAATGCAGAATAGATGCATTGTCACCCCTGAGGACTAAGATTGAATGCCTCGTTTCCAGTACAAAAGGGTCTCTAGATCTCTACACTCACCATACGAAACACAGCTGTATTAAGCTGCAATTTTATGCTGGTATTCTGTGAGAGTGTGGTCCTTCCCCAGTTGAGTGGACCTATTTGTGCTACAACCATAATATATAGCTGCAGCATGGCTCTACCACATATATAATATTGGATATGGACTGAACATAATTAAGAAAAGCTTTTCGATTTCAAAAATAATACATCAAATCATTCACATGCCAAGTCTATACAAAAATGGTCATAGTTCCAAACATTCTTGGAAGCCATCATTGCACTAAACTACTCTGAGGGTCGCCTGCATAAACCAAGAGTACCACAAATGAAAATGTGGGCCTACAATGACAATTAAAACATTGGAGAAAGTTGTATATCAAGATCGGTTTCTTAGCGATTGATCCTCTCTGCCTAACTCCTGAGGAAAACATAAAGCTATAGAGGTAATGCATAAGTTGTATTCTTCAAAATAGTTATAACACAGCTAGTTTTAGATCATTTTCTATGGAATTAAAAGGAAATTTTAACTTATCCAAGTGCATTTTATAAGTTGGTCGACCATTACTTATTAACATATTAAGTCTATAAAATCTGAGCTGTGATAGTTTTCCTTTTAACTTCATTACATATTATTTCTACTATTGTGCATAATTTGCACATTTCCAAAAAACAGCCATTTAGTTGGTAGAGGGGGGGGGGACATGATTCTAAAAAATGCCATTTTAAAGTTAAATATTTTAAAAACGGACATCTGAATAGTAAAGATATTGTTCCATAATTTTGAAAGAATTATCCAATGACACCCCACATTATGGAATAGATGGGTATAAAAATCACCCGTATTTAAGGTACCCAAAATAAAAATGTTGCATGATTTTATATCATAGCTTTGTACGTAGGAGTAATTAACATCTACAAGTATGTCTAATTAAAGCTATGTAGCACCTAGGGTCTCTGAGTAAAACTGTGGATGGACAGATGAACAGACTTGGCAAAACTCTAAGGGCTCTTTATTGTTTAAGTATGGAACCTTAAAAACTAGTGTCGAGCTGGAGTCCAAATATTCATTTTCTCCTTGAGCGATAAAACCTTAAGCACTTCTTAATCTCTACACTTATATTATCATAAAAGTAGTAAAGGATAAGTAAATTGTAATTATGAAAATATAAAAATGTTTAGATACATTACAAAGATGTTTCAGTAAACTATATTTCTGAAGATTTAGCTGTCCAAATCATCCAGCCACTGGAGATTGCTGTAGGTGCTGCGTACATTACATACAGCAATCCCTAGTCACAAAAAGGAAAATGATGGTGGGTTTGGAATTATCTATTGGAAGACAAAACTCACAAAGTGATTAGTTCATGTCTAAGAGTTCATTTACAAATTTTGATTGAATTAATGTTTTTGAGTTTATAGCTATTGATTATATATATATATATATATATATGCATGTGCATGCACAGTGAAAGTGTAAACTAGATCTGTTCCATGTATGTAATATGCTGCGTTTTAAACAATATTTAAAAACAAGTACTTAATATATATGACAAATTCATTAAGATCTATTCTGAAACTAGTTTTACATACTCTTAATTACCAAGGCAACCGTTTTGAAAGCAACAGAGCAATATAAAATATTATATTTTAGTATTTTATAATGTCTAAATGACCTGAAGAACCAAAAGAACAGAGTATATGGTTCTATTCGCAACCATGATCATAAAATCCAATTCCTGAATAAGGCCAGGTTTACATCTGTTTGGGTTAAGTATGTGTAGTAAAAACAATGCATGACTGTATTAGAATATAAACAGTTTTTAAATTTAATTTACACAACATAGTTTAAAAGTTCTGAATTTGATTAATCATCAAATAATTTATATTATTCCCATGTCACTCTTTATAGTGTGTAGTCCCATATGATTAAATTGTGCATGTTGAATAAAACAACGGTTTATATCCTTACACAATAACTTAATTTCATATCAAAACATTTATGATGGTTTGATACAATTGTATGAATTTATTGAAGTCTGTAGCCGTTATGGTTATATTCAATTATTATTTTGAATTGTTTCCGGCTCCTTATATTTTATAAGATATTTTTAAAACATAAAATCGCAAAATCAATGAGATTTTAACTAAGTCAGAAATGCTAACCTGTAGCCGCGGAAACTCTGACATATACCTTACTAAGAGGAATTATGGGAACTTGCATACGTTTTTCTTCATCCATAAATTCTTTTACTTTGAGAATTATTTCGCGAACTTCACTTGTAATATTTTTTGGCATATTGTACGAGTGTTATAGTCGTTTATTAAATAAAAACAGACGCGCGACATTAATGGCCGACTTGCCGACTTGTTTGGCTAGTCCCGTACAAAGAGCATGCACTATGCAATACAGTAGTAAACTAGTAAACGTGATAATAATATTATATTCTCTTTGTCAAGTAGCACAGGCTGTACAGCAGGAGTTTTGGCGGGAACTTGGCCGTGGACGGATTGTCGCTCCTGTTTTGTCGCTTGAATAATGGTCTGAAGGGGATTTTGATTCGTAAAAGTGATGCGATTTTGTGAATTAAGTGTCCGCGCGTGTGAACTATTAGAGAAAACGACGAAACAAGTGCTTTGATGTCGATATAAACCTCAAGTTATTTTGATCGCTTGGGCGCCTTATGTACTTGAGTGGCTGTTGTCATCAACTGTCCGCTAGGTTGAGCTGTCGTCAAAATCTCCCAAGGGCTTCGCAATGTGTCGCATCAGCATATTGTGAAGAAAAAGAACATAAAATGAAGATTCCAAAAGAAAGGATAGAGATAAAGGCAAATTAAATTCCAGTTGTTTCTATTTCCCATTAGTCTGTTCGGAAATAGAATAATCGTGGTAAAAATCGAACCCGAGGTGCCGCGTACTGTGAAATTTACAGCGACCGCATACCCAATGAGCTACCACGGCTTAATAAATTGTTGATTGCAGTTTTGTCAGTTGCAATTGTCACTTTTAAATATGTAAGCCGGATCTTACTGCTGTACAGCTTCTTCTTTTCTTTTTTATTAACTGGCTTTACGGCCCTAGTTTCTAGACCTTCTGAGCCTGCGAAGGCCTTCGATCGAGTTTAGCACAAAGTGCTTCTTCCGAAGCTCCCGTCCTATGGACTTCCTGAGAAATTATGCAATTGGATCACCAGCTATCTTGCAGATCGGAGCATCAAGCTCGTTGTAGACGGTGCTAGTTCCGATTACAAGCCTATTAATGCCGGTGTTCCACAAGGCTGCGTGCTATCACCTACGCCCTTTCCTTCTGCATATTAATGATATGTTGTAAACCCGTAACATTCATTGCTATGTAGATGACAGTACTGGTGATGCTCTGTACACCGGCCGTGCCAATATTTCTCGGGAAAACGTCTCCGAGTACCGGGACAAACTTGTGTCTGAAGTCGAGTCTTTGCTAACAGAGTCTCGGATTGGGGACGACTAAATCTAGTCCAGTTTAACTCTCAGAAGACACAAGTTTGCGCGTTCACCGCTAAAAAGAACCCCTTTGTCGAATCTCCTCAGTTTCAAGGCACTCTCCTTGTTGCCTCAACCAGTATCGGAATTCTCGGCATCGACATATTATCGAGTGACGTGTTTCATGGTCACTTGGAAGAGAAGGCCAAATTGGCCTCTAAAATTTTGGCGTGCTCAGCAGAGCGGTACAGTATTTCATACCGGCACACCGCCTGCAACTTTACAAGGCGCAGGTTCAGCCGCACATGGAATACTGTTCCCATCTCTGGGCTGGGGCTCCCCAGTGCCAGCTCCTTCCACTTAACCGCATCCAGCGCAGAGCAGCTCGAATCGTCGACGACCGAGTGCTTTCCGATCGGCGCGATTCACTGGTGCTGCGAAGAGATGTTGCATATCTTTGCATTTTCTTTCGTATATACCACGGGGAGTGCTCTGAGGAATTGTTCGGATTAATCCCAGCCGCCAAATTTCGTGAACGCACTACGCGCCAAACGTCCCGATACCATCCACAACATCTGGATGCTTGGCGGTCCACCACTGTACGTTTCACAAGGAGTTTTCTTCCGCGTACGACCTCTCTGTGGAATAGTTTACCACTGGCGATTTTTCCGGACCGATGTGACCTAGGAACCTTCAAGAAAAGAGCTTACTCATTCCTAAAGGGCCGGTAACGTATCTGCGATTCTCCTGATATTGCGATTGATCATGGGCGGCGGTATTAACATCAATACCAATAAGACGAAGTACATGGTAATAAGCCGAACACCTGAGCTTATCACGTCTTTATCCCTAAATGGTCAGGGTCTAAGGCTTGCACACGTTTACGAAACAGGAGAGCACAGTCTCGAAATACGATGCAGATTAGAGCAGGCACGCAACGCCTTTTCGAGAATGAGAAAAGTTCTTTTTGACCGGAACCTAAGTATTTCTCTTCAAACACACATAGCGTGGTGCTATGTCTTTTCTGTACTTCTCTATGGTATAGAAGCTTGGACGCTGACAGAAGCAATGTCTAAAAAACTGGGAGCGTTCAAGATGTTGGTGTACAGACGTATGCTAGGAATTTCTTGGAGAGACCGCGAAACCGACGAAACACCACCGTGCTACAAAGAGTGGGGAAGGTCACAGGGATACTTACAACCATAAAGAAGAGGAAAATGGAATATTTTGGGCACGTAATGCGTAACACCAAAAAATATGAACTCCTTCAACTTATCATTCGGGGAAAGTAGCAGGCAGAAGGACGCCTGGCCGCAGAAGAATATCGTGGCTGAAAAACTTGCGGCAGTGGTTCGGGAAGAGCACAAGATTACTATTTAGAGCAGTGGTCTCAAAAGTTGAAATCGCCCTAATGATTGCCAACCTTCGCAAGTAGACGGCACCTTAAGAAGAAGAAGATAGGCGACGGTAGTCACTTAACATCAGGTGAGCTGCATGCTCGTTTGCCCCCTCTTCTATAAAAAAAGAATAAGCAGAGTTTGGCCTCGTTTTGTTAGTTATGATGAGAACTTACCTCCGGACTTGATGGAGATACCTGAAGGTGTACTTCGGAGATTGATACTGGAACTCCTCGACTGGTAGAACTAGATGTGACTAGTTTAGGCTCGTTCTGTTAGTTATAATGAGAATTTATCTCCGGACTTGATGGAGTGACGTGAAGGTGTACTTTGTTAAATGCTAATGGAGCTCCTCGACGAGTAGAAGCAGATGTACCCAGTTTGGGCTCGTTTTATTAGTTATAATGAGACCTTACCTCTGGATGTGATGGAGAGACCTCAAGGTGTACTTCGGGTACTGATACTGGAACTCCTCGATGTGTAGAATTAGGTCATTTGGACAGTGCTGCAATCCGTTCAGAAGTGCCAAGTTTTACTGTCGGTATACCGAATGCTGAAGTGTTTGTACAGTAGGACAATGATGGCTTTTCGAGTACAGGAATAGAGTACGAAACCTATCCAACTGCAGAGAGGTGTAAGACAGGATGAAATAATATCCCCAAATTTTTTACCGCTGGATTAAATGAAGTTTTTTAGCTACTGGACTGGAAAAGATACCGTATTAAGGGCCCTGTCTTGTAAAAATTAGTGTTCAAGCAAAATTTACAGCAAAACAAATATTTTTTTATAGTATTTAAAAACGAAAAAGTGAAACATATTTTAAATTTATTTACTGTGTAGGATTTGAAATTTATGAAACTGTTTTTTAATTTTATTTTGGTGTTTAAATTAATAGCGCGGCATTAAACATGTCTATGTTTAGGTTACATGCGTAAAAGGTGTTATTAAAGCCTCTGCTATGTATAAATTATAATAATATCAAGAAAAGTATTCAGATCACATTTATTTACATGTTGTCTACAATAATCTGATCTGGTCACTTTTTTTTAGAAATGCTGTAATTTTCTTATTTAAAGGGCTTAAAAATTTGTAATTTCATGATTTTTTATACTGCATATATCTATTTTTTTTTATTAGAAGTATTAATGTAGCAAAGTGGTACTGAAAAAACCATAAATTTTTCTTTTTTGTTTTGTTAAAAACATTACTCCTACATTACGATTTTCTCCTGTATCGTGGGGGCAGTTTACAAACATAAATTGCACAAGGAAAAACGTCCAGACCCGGAACAATTATTTGTAGGCCATAAAAATACTTGTTCCGTGTGGGATTCGCACCCGCGACCCCCAGCGCAGCCACTCATTGCTAAGCCACTACACCACGGACTATTTTCCAGTGAATTAGGAATAAATAAAATTAAAAAAATACATATTTTCGTACTTATGCCTATATATATAAACCAGACACGTCTGAAAATTCACCCCCTACGGCCTCCGAACCTATCTCTGTGTCCAATGATGAGATTTCATCCCTCATCAAAGGACTTAAGCCCAAAAAGGCTCCGGGCGCAGATGGCATCTCCAACCAAGCCCTAAAACACTTTCCTGAGCAGGTGTTAACCTTTTTTATCTATTATCTTCAACGGCTGCTTCAACCTCAGTTATTTCCCCACTACGTGGAAAGAGGCAACTGTGATTGGAATTCCCAAGCCAGGCAAGCCTCTCAACCTCCCCCTCCAGCCATCGCCCCATTAGCCTCCTCAAGGCAACGGGCAAGCTCTTCGAAAGAGTCATCCAAACGCGTATGAGGCGCTATCTGTTTCCCACAGACGGCGACCCTCTTATCATTCGCCATCAATTCGGTTTCCGAGCCAAACACTCATGTCCCCAACAAGTTCACCGCATTGTGGAATATATCCTCAGCGGTTTCTATCCTCGTCGTCATAAGACCATCGCGGTCTTTTTTGATATAGCTAAAGCTTTCGATAGAGTCTGGCACACAGGCCTCATCTACAAGCTCGACAAAATAGGTCTCCCCGATCGTCTAGTTCGTCTCGTGGCCTCCTATTTAAAACATCGTACCTTTCGTTTTAGACACGAAGGCACGCTTTCTTCACAGCGAACTATCAAGGCTGGTGTCCCTCAGGGCTCAGTACTTGCTCCTCTGCTGTACATCCTGTTCACCAACGACATTCCCATCCCGTCGAAAGGTGTTCAACTCTCCCTCTTCGCAGACGACACTGCTATCTACTGCAAAGGTGTCTCACTACCCTTCATACGGAACAAGATCCAAAAGTCAGTTGATGACCTAGGAGCTTGGTTCAAAAAATGGCGCATCGATGTGAACCCGGAGAAGAGCTCCGCCGTTCACTTCGATTATAAACG